ATAGTATGTTACTAAATACTATTATATAATAATTGCACATGATATTAGAAAGATGGGTTTTACATGAACCTACACCCTGAGTCTTCTGAGCCCCCACTTGGCCTTACTCACTGTTTCTCCCATTAAAATATCCAGTGATCTATGTATAAATCAAAATTGAGTCATCTGTTCTGAACTCTTCTATATTGTCATAGTATAGTATTGATTAAAATCTGTCCTTAACATGTTCGAGTCTGGCTTTGTTTATCTTTGATAAGCACTCCTCAATAGGGTTATCCAATCCATATTTGATGTTGTATGAGCAGGAAGTAAATTTTTGTTTCAAATCTTAGAGGTTCTTAGTTTACTAGTTACTTTAGCATAAACTATCCTACCATCTACACTAATAAGAGAGAAACATGCAAATTGACTGTACCTCTGCTACATCCACAAACCACGCCACCAGCCAATCAGAGCTTATATGCAAATTAACCCAACCAAGATGGCAGTAGCCACAGAGCTGAAGTGAGCAGGAGGCTTGAGTTGCCTCCGATAATAGAGGAAGTCAAGCTTCCTGCTCACTCTGGCTGCCACTGGCCTCTGCTCAAGGCTACAAAGTTTTAATTATAGAAGATAAATAAATCCCAGATACCTGTTTCCAGCTGGCCCTGGCCTCCACTCAAGGCTACAAATTTTCAATTATACAAGATAAATAAATCCCAGATATCTGCTTCCAGCCAGCCCTAGCCTCTGCTCAAGGAGGCACTGAAAAAAAGAGGGAAAAAAAGAAAAAAAAAAAAAGATAAAAAAGAAAAGAAAAAGGGGCTGGGAGCCTAGATCAGCAGGGGTTATGGCCAGCCTGAAAACAGCCCTCAGCCCCTCACTCAGGCTGGCAGGCATCCCAGCAGGGACACCCACCCTGGAGGGGGTATGACAAGCCTGAAAACAGCCCTCAGCCACTCACCCAGGCTGGCCACACCCCCTAGTGGGGACCCTTACCCCATGGGGGTGTGGCCGGCCTGCAAATCACTACAGACCTCTTGCCCAGGCTTCCCCATGACCCAATGGAATGCCTATCCTGATCCAGTACACCCGTCAGGGCAAACCAGCTGGCCCCCACCCATGCATCAGGCCTCTAACTATACTAATAAAAGGGTAATATGCTAATTAGACTGGGAGACCTTCCAGACATTCTTCTGGACAAAGCCATGGTGATGGGGCCGAGGTTAGAGGCCAAGAGGGGAGGGCAATTGTGGGTAGACAGGCTAAGATGGCAATTGTGAGTGATCAGGCTGGTGGGGGGCAGGGCTCTTGGGGGTAAGCAGACCAGCAGGGGGGCCTGTTGGGGGTGAGCAGGATGTCAATGGGGGTCAGTTGGAGGTGTTCAGGACAACGGGAGTGGCAGTTTGGAGTAAGCAGGCCAGCAAAGAGGTAGCTGGGGGCGAGCAGGCCAGTGAGGGTGGGTGGGGGAGCAAACAGGCCAGCAGAACGGGGGGGGGGGAGCAGTGGAGAGTGATCAGGCTGGCAGCGTGGGCAGTTGGGGACGAGCACACTGGCATGGGGGGCAGTTGGGGGTGATTAGGATGGTGGGGGGCAATTGGGGGTGAGCAGGTTGGGGGTGGGGGGCAGGCAGACAGAGTGGTTAGGGGCAATCAGGCAGGCAGGCAGGCAGGTGAGTGGTTAGGAGCCAGCAGTCCCAAATTGCAAGAGGGATGTCCTACTGCCAGTTTAGGCCCAATCCCTGTAAACAGGCATTAGGACGTCCTTCGAGGAGTCCCAGATTGGAGAGGGTGTAGGCCAGGCTGAGGGACACTGTCCCCTACCCCATGTACAAATTTCGTGCACCCAGCCACTAGTAATTAATAAACTGTTTCTTAAGAAAGCTTTCTTAATTCCTCTACTAGTGAACTAGGTTTACAGTTTTCTAAGAGCCTGGTCAGACTCATTTCTCCCTTCATAAAGGATTTCAAAATTAGACTTTTTGTGATTATGCAAATGATGTTTACACTTGTGTTTGTGTCTGTGGCTAAAAGCATATTAAATATATGCATCTTTATGGGTTGAATTGTGTCCCCTCCAAATTCACGTTAAAACCCTAACCTCCAGAATCTCATATTGTGACTATATTTGGAGATAGGGCCTTTTAGAGAGGTGACTGTGAAAATAAAGTCAGTGTGGAGTGTAATTCAATCTGACTGTTGTCTTTATAAGAAGAGAAAATTTGGACAGGCATAGAAAAGCCAGGGGTTCACATGCACAGAAAAAAAGATCACATGAGGACACAGTAAGAAGGCTGCATCTGTAAGCCTAGAGAAGACTCAGAAGAAAAATACGACACATGAGATATACATATAGATATTTTGGGCTCTTTTCAACCTGTCAGATACTCTGATTGCATAGCATTTGACTTTGTCATAGTTGTTTACAGGTTTGGTATTCCATTATAAGTTTTCTGAAGTCAGAGATTATGTTTATTCATAACCATTCTCTCAAAGGGACTAGTCAAGTGTGCAGGTGAGGCAACGAATAAGCAAGCACTTGAATGAACAGCTGAGGCCGCTACTATCATCACACCGAGGTGGCCAGATTTATCCTTAGGGCAGTAAGACATAGGACTATAGGTTGTTCCCCTAGTTTTCTATGAGAGGCCCAGCACACGAAATGCATGTATGGGTACGGTCCCTAGGCTTGACCTGTGATCAGGCTATCTTTCCCTGCTGCCAGTAGCTGACCTTGCCATCAGGCGATCAGAATGTGCCGGCCATGAGGAGGGACCGAGAGGTGGTCAGTGTGCTGCATGGCGACTGGTTGAATGGTTTTTCTGGTCATTCCACTGTTCGGTCAATTTGCATATTACTCTTTTATTTATATAGATCAGTCATATCACTACCCTACTTAAGTATCTATAATAATAAAAGCATAATATGCTAATTAGAAAAGAGAGCTGAATAACCTTCCAGACATCTTTCCAGATGTCCTTCCAGATGAAGCTGTGACAGTAGGGGCTAAAGCAGAGAAATGTAAAGGTATTTGGACAAGCAGGTGAGCAGTAAGGGGCAATCAGGCAGTCAGGCAAGTGTATAGAGGCAATCAGGCAGGAAGGAGAGTGGCTAGGGTAGATCAGGCAGGCAGCAGGTTAGCAATTAGGAGTGATCAGGCAGGCAGAATGGTTAGGAGCCAGTGGTCCTGGATTTTGAGAGGGATGTCTGACTGCCATTTTAGGCCCAATCCCAGAGGTCCTGGATTGCAAGAGAGTGTGCAGACCAGGCCAGGCTGAAGTACCCTTCCTCCCACTGTGCACAAATTTCATGCACTGGGCATCTAGTCTCCAAATGTTTAGTCTTTCTTTCTTTCTTTCTTTCTTTCTTTCTTTCTTTCTTTCTTTCTTTCTTTCTTTCTTTCTTTCTTTCTTTTTTTCTTTCTTTCTTTCTTTAAAATATATTTTATTGCTTTTTTTTACAGAGAGAAAGGAAGAGGGATAGAGAGTTAAAAACATCGACGAGGGAGAAACATCAATCAGCTGCCACCTGCACACCTCTTAGTGGGGATGTGCCCACAATCAAGGTACATGCCCTTGACCAGAATCAAACTTAGGGCCTTTCAATCTGCAGGCCTACACTCTATCCACTGAGCTAAACCAGTTAGGGCTAGTGTTTCTTAAATTGTTCAAAAGTCTAAATTTCTGAACATGGAAAGAAAAACTCTTCAAGATCTGGACCCATCTTCACTCCCCCAACCTTTCCCACTGCTTTTCCCAGAACAGGTGTTTTTCCTCTTTACATGGAAAGCTCAGATTTTCCTCTACCTTCCTTCCTGCTATTTCCTTGGCTTAGAATACTTCTGTAACTTCTTGTTTTGGTTGAACCAGCCCCATTTTCCCATGAAACCTCTGGCTATTTCAGCTCTAATTAGTTTTCATTACCCTCAATTTACTATAGATTCCATTATACCAGTACTTAAGATCAAATTGTGTCCCTCTTCATATAATCTTCCAATTAATTCATGTCATATGGTCTCAATTAGCTACACTAATAAAAGAGGAAGATGTAAATTGACCATACTTTTGAGATGCCCACCAGCCAATTAGGAATGAGTATGCAAATTAACCCAAAATATGGCAGGTTAATTTGCATGTGCAGGTAGTGGGGGCTTTCTACACTGACCCAGCTGCCCCAGGCCTCTGGGCAGTGTGGGAAGGCGGGAAGGTGGCTCTGGGCTGGAGTAAAAGCAGAAATGTGGCTCAGGCCAGAGCTAAGGTGGTGCCAGCAGCCAGAGGAAGGAAGGCCCATTCTTGCATGAATCTTCATGCATCACACTTCTCTCTCTCCTATATATAAAATGTATTGGGGTCAATTCATATATGTAGATATATGATTAGAAAGATGGAGACCTCATCTTTTATTCCTTATATTTCTACTGATACTCTTGACAAAGTAGTAAGCACTGTGAGAGCCTTCTTAAACTCTAGGAGGAAGAAGAGGTCTTACGAAGAATCTGGTTGACCAAGATAAAATCTGTCAAGTAAGAAAGCTAACTTCATAAAATTCAAAGGAACTGCTTAGACTCACACTATGGTTACTGGATGATATTAAATTAGAATGCAGTTGTCATGTCTCCAAGTTCAATATACTTTTCAGTGTACTACAGTGTCAGCTAAACATTGTTTTATATTCAAACAATAATTACAGTTTGAATATGAAAAGCCCTAAAGCACTACATCTGAGATAGAAATAATTTGACCATCCATGACAGTGTCTTTAATTAAAAAGGACTGAGTCATTCATTTAAATAACACATAGATGTTCTTAAAGATGATGAATCCATATCTGAGAAACAAGAAGTGAAGGAAGATGGCAAACCTGAAACAACAGAATCTCTTAATACTTGAATTAGAAATCAAGTTGGGATAATGGTGTCAGGGAAGAAAGGCTACCGAACAACAGTATTGTTCAGGTTCTGTGCAGGCAAGTAATAGCATGGCACAGTCCCAGCACAGTAAGGATTCATTCCGTTTAACCTACCTTGGCGAATCTTCTCATTAAGTGAGATAATGCTTCAGGGTTAGGGCATTCCAGTTTCTTAATAATCTCAAAGCTCTGATTAAGCTGAGCAAAGACATCAACCACGGAACAAGAGAAGAGGGCATGATCAGAGGTCTGCTGAAACTGAGGGGAGAAGGTGAAACCATTCCATTAAACACATTAGTAGGACTGTGGAGACTGTCTTCATTGTTTCTCACAAACAACTGAATTTCCTGTATCATGGACCTTCAAATCACATACTTTCATTTTCCAGTAATAAAGTGCCTATTCGTTTTAAAATTATTCATCTCCTTTTCTGGAAGATATAGTGAAACTAATATCGTGGGGCAGGCTGCTATTAATTTGTCTCTCCATTTCTAAATTGGGGAACTGCTTTTGGTTTGTTTGTTAGTTTGTTTGTTCCTCATTCCCCATAAGTATCAGGAAAATTTAGCAAGCAGACTGTGGTACAAGACTTTCGAATTGCTTCAGAGGCACAGGAAGTGTGTCTGCTCATAATTTTGGCATCTTAGAAAAGGTTATAGGACCACAAGGGAGTTTTGTACAAGTCTGTTAAACTTGTAGATTCTGGCCAACTCAGTAAGAATCTTGGGGCAAACAGGTGATTTTTAAAAAATTTTTATTTAAGCAATTTCCAAGGATCCCGATCAGCCCTTTAAAATTGCTTTAAATTTATTGCGGTCACTAGATGATTAAAATAAACTTTAATAAATAACAACAGCCTAACAATTCACATTAGCTTAAAGATGAGTATGATGTGACTGAATCTTGACAATAAATAATCTTAAAGTATTTGAAACTCACTCCATCTTTTTTGTCTCTTCCTAGTGCTCCATGAAGAAACTCCATTGACACATCTTCATTTTCATCTAGCCACTGCATGACAAAAGGTTCAAACCACCTAAAAAATTAATATTACAGACTATAAAAATGTCATTTACAGTTAATCGGCAGTGAATGCCGCTCTTTTCTGACATGAGAATAATTTAAGACCCCAGATCTCTTCTCATTTTCTTTTGCCAGTTCAGCTTCCTTTAGCTTTACTTCATTAAATACATCCCCCTCTCTTTTTACCTCCAATCTCTATCTCCTTCTATATCTCTTTTATTCTACAAAATAAATGCTTTTTATTCTTTGCTACATTGCTGTAATATTATTTTGAGTCATTTCCCTTCTATCTGAGGCATGGTTCCTAGTATACATTTTTTGTGAGAGTTAGCTGGAAATGAGTTATTTCAGACTCTCAGGTCAGTGTCTTTACTTTGCTTTATTTTTGAAGGATATTTTTGATACTTGTAGAATTCTAAGTTGACTTTTTCCCTCTGGCACTTAAAATATATCAGTGCATTATATTCTGATTTTAGTCATTCTCATTGAACAGTCAGCCAAGAGTATAGTAGCTCTGGTAAAGTGTTTTCCCTTTCTTGATCCCTTAATACATTTAAAGATGTTCTTCTTCGTTTTAAGCAGTTTTCTATGATGTACCTGTAGGTAGTTTCTTTGAATTTATTCTGCTTAAGATTTACAGGAAATTTTGAACTATGCTTCATGTTTTTAATTGGTTTTAGAAAATTCATCCCTAGTTACATTTAAAATATTGCTCTGGCGTAATTTTTTCTCTCTTCTATTTTTGGGGGTCCAATTTTTTGTGTATTAGACCTCTATAATTTTACTCACATACACCTTGCACTAAACCACTAACTGAAAACCATTTTTCTATTGAGTTGTCCACTAAAAGGACAAATTTTGTCCTCAAGGGACATATCAAATCATGTACATATCAAATCATGGCACGTGCCATAGTATTTCATGTTACCCTTCCTCCTGAAGCTCTACACAGATTTTTGTATCCCCAGTGTCTCACACATGACCTCAAACATTTTTGGGATTCAGTGGAACTGGGTTACCCTTCCCTTCAATGTTCAGTTAAATGTGCAAACACTCTTGGAAGAGTCAAACCTTAAGTTAAGCTCACCCCTCACATATGCAAAGGCAGTAGCACAACTGGATGCCCACATGCTGTAGACCTAATTACTTACGTTTTGTAAACTAAGCTAATAAACTGCTTTATAAATGTGTTGTGGCCCTAGCCTAGTGGCTCAATTGGTCATAGCATTGTCCCTGTACACCAAAGGGTTGAGAGTTTGACTCCCAGTCAGAGCACATACCTAGGTTGTGGGTTCGACCCCCAGTCGGGGCACTTTTGGGACACAACCAATCCATGTTTTTCTCCTACTAGGATGTTTCTCACTCTCTCTTCTTTCCTCTCTCTCTAAAAAATCAATAAAAATGTATTCTTGGGTGAGGATTAAAAAAAAAAGTGTTCTATATTCTCACTCAACAAACTTACAGCACTTTGCACAGTGCCTGGCATATGGAAGGCCTCCCTTGATGGAATAAAATATAATTCTGATAAATATCAATGCAAGTAATACAAGCCTGATTGTGTGATTACAAATGTATTTGATAGAGATAAGTTATGAAAATGTTACCTGTTTAATAATGACTCCAATTTTAATTTCTAACACATTTTTCAGGTTGCATTAAAGAAAAACATCTGATTGTATAGCTCAATATCCAGGTTTGGGCGAAAGTAGTGAGGACAAGGAACACAGTTTATTCTTGTGTTATTATTTATTAATTATTGTATTATATTGAAGAACAACTGTAAACCTACTTTTGCTCCACCCTGTACAAGCACCATCACTTTCCCAAGAAAGTCTGAGTTCTAGTGCTTTCACAGAAATTAATCTCATCGTGTGAGCCACATCCTGCCATGTATTTCTTTCTCTTTGAGTTTAAGAGCCAAGTAAGACATACTTGAAAAATGCAACATAATTCAATTAAATATGGTTCCCAAAGATCTGCAAATCATTTAATGTTAATGTTATAATAGACAGGTCTGTATTCAGAAGACAACTACAGGAACAGTTGTTAGGGCTGCATAATCAGGTGTAATTATGTGGGACTTTGAGTTGAGAATGAACTTGGGGTTGAAAATCACTACTTACAAGGAATATTCAGGAATGGCATCCTTGAAGGCAGGAAGTTCTCGTACATATTCATTATAAAACCATTTCACTTTGAAATGCAAATTCATATAATCGGTGCTCTTACATAACCGCTGCTTTTCATGCTCTAGAACAGATAAAATAAAGCATTTAATAAAGTTTGGTTTTCTAGCAATGCTGCTGTGTTCCAATTTACCTTTATTAGTAGTATTTCCAAAAGGAAAAAAAAATCATGTATTTGATATAAACGCAAAGTGAGTTGCTGAAGACAAACCTGAAATTTTACAAAATGTAAAATTCATTATAAATCTTATGCCAATAGGTCAAGAAGTAATGAGAAATAATTTGAATGTCTAATGTGCTTTTCTGAAAAAGGTGAGATCTCTGAGTTTTCTTTCTATTTATCTGCAAGCTCTCGTATTTTTACTACTTTGGGCCTGATAAGAATACCAGAAAGCATTAAAACTCTAAGCATGAATAAAACATGAATTAAACTGGGAGACATAATCCCCGATTACTACTGGATATATGAATGAGTGGTTCACATTTATCGCCTGGATATTTCACACTTAAAACACTAAGATAGTTGAAAAGGAGAGGAATATATATCTAATTCTTAAGCCAGATTATTTCTTCTTCATCTTTTAAGTTCAGCTAAAATTATTTTATACCCTGTGATCTTTTTGACATTTCTTGAGCAGATTTTCCTAATATGTGATATTTTTTTTCTCTCTTGTTCAAAAAGTAGAGTTTAAAACTATATTTTAATCTGGACATAAAGTACTAGGGAATAGAGACAAATAATATTACTGAACATGTTTATCTATTTCCCTCAGGTCCCCAATATTAATATCTTGACCAATTGGGGCTTCAAGTGTAGATACAACCAAACCTAAAATATCTGTAACTATATTCAGGCTGAAAGTGTCCTTTGAGAAAGCTCTGGTTGAGGTCTGTGAATATCTTTTAATCTAAGGAATTTGACTTACAGTGGAAATATCCTATACCAGTACTTTATATTCCAGAATAAAAATACTAATCAAAAAATTATATTGTTATAAACAAACTAGAGGCCTGGTGCACGAGATTCACACATGGGGGATTGGGAGATGCATGGTGAGGAGGTCACCTCAGCATGGCCTACACCTTTCACAGCAGTCTGGGAGCCCTCAAATAGGACATCTTTAATGCTGCTGCAGAAGCGGGAGAGGCCCCCCTGCTATAGCTGTTGCACTTTGTCAGCTGTCAGCCTGGCTTCTAGCTGAGTGGTGCTCTCCCTGTGGGTGCACACTGACCAGCAGGGGGAAGCTCCTGCATTGAGCATCTGCCCCCTGGTTGTCAGTGTGTGTCATACTGACTGGTTGTTTTCCCATTCAGTTGATTTGCACATTAGCCTTTTATTATATAGGATTGAGGACATCCTTGCCTCTCAAAACCTGACTATAGAGAGATTAAAACCCAAGTGATAAGCAAAAGAAGAAACAATCCCAAATAGAACATTTTCAAATTGTCTAAACAATAATTTTAAAAAATCTGTACAACTAAGAGAGAGAACACACAGAGAGAAACAAGAGTGGTAAACTAATACCCTAGAACAAACTCCCAAACAAAATTATGAACTGTGTGATATTTGCTTCAACTCCCTTCAAATTAAATGCCACCTTTTCTCCTATCAATGTTGGCTCGTCCCCTGCCCTTATCCCTTCTGATTTCTAGTGTCCTTTCACACCTTATGAAGAAACATTTATCTGATAAACTCATAGGTCAGAAATTAACACAATGCAACCCTGAAATCCAGATGAGGGAAGTCTCTTGCCTTGGAGCCCAACTTTGAGAGTGTTCTCTATTTTTCACAAATACTCAAAAATTAAATAGTTTCTGGCATCCTCTGTCACTTGGGATCCCATACCTGGTGGTGGTACAGAGCAAGTCAGACTCTCAACATCTGGTCTTGAAACTACCACCACCTGCTCTTACGATTAATGCCCTCTAAGCCCAAGAGAAACACTTTGGTCTGTCTTTTGTTCTCTATCCTAAAAACAGAAAGTGACTGTGAACAAATGCAACCAGATTGCCATTGCCGACAACAGACTCAGGTACTGCTTTGGAGCATGGGAAGGAATCGGAACCATGGAAGCATTAAGAAAAGGCAAACTAACTCATTAGGCTCTGCCTCTGGATAGCATAAATACAATCAATTGTTGCATAACAAGGCATTATTTTCAAGTATTAACACCCATTTTCTTTGCTCTAATTCATGCATTAGAAGGCACTCATCCAGCAATGGGGCATGGCCCAAAGAGGTGTACATGCTGCCGGGAAACAGCTTTAAATATTAAATGATTCATATTACTCTCAAAGTCTGTATGTATATGTATAGCTTCAGATATAACATACATGAGGCCTGGTATTTATTCTTTTGCTAACTAGATGACTATTGAAGAGTTTGTTTGCTTTTGAAATTTGGATTAAAAAAAAATTAACTCATTACATTTTAGCTTTATTCAAATAATTTACATATATATGTATATGAATAATTGCTTGCATTTATCTTCATTTTAATAACGAATTTTGAAATTTTAATATTTTAGAGGGTAATAGCTTTCTAAAAACTATTTATGAACTATACCTAAAAGCACATGGATGTAATTTAAATTTCTAATATTTCTATTTATAGTTTATTTTGAATTGCATCTTTTTATAAAATACATATTCAAATCATGTCCATTTTGAATACAATACCTTTTTTTAATCCTTTAAATGTCAAGAATGTGCATAAATTGAGATTGAATGGAAAAAAAATAAATGAATCTCAGGAAAAAGGCTGAAAATAGAAAACAGTTAAAAAAAAGGTGTTCTTAGATTTTTTAAAACTTAAAAGAACAGAAAGGTTATATTTCAACAATATAATTAATAATTTTGCTGAAATAAAGGTAAAATATATTTTTTTCTGAAAGGATATCACATTGATATAAAAGTAAGTTTATGTGTTGAAGTGGAACATTGAACATACCTTATGTAACATTTTATTAGCTTGATTTAGAAATCATAAGCATTTAGGGCTATGGCATTTGGGCCTTCACTTTGCTACTGCCTTTGCAAATGTTAGGAGTGAGCCTGACTTAATGTGTTACCTCTTTCAAGAGTGTTTGAACATTAACTGAATCCTGAAGGGAAGGGAACCCAGTTCCATCGAATACCAAGCATGTTTACTGAGCATGTATCTTGTTCCAGGTCATGTGTGAGGTACAGGGGATATAATAATAATGAAGGATTCATAGAGCTTCAGGAGAAAGGGTGACATGTGACAATATGGCATGTGCCATGTGCCAAGATTTGGTATGTACAAGAGACTAGTCTATTGAGGAGATGAATTTAGCCCAACTTTGTGCTTTTAATAAATGATTCAATAGAGAAATTATTTGATGTTAGTGGTTTAGTGCACAAAGTAGAATTCGGTTAAGAGGACACATGTTACATAAAATAAGACTTATAATTTATAAGAGATACTACTTAATATGTATGTGTCTCTTTGTGAAATGATATAACTGTGCTTTCAATTAAGACCTTGGGCTTTTCCCTCCCCCTCTCTACTTATGTTTTTACATGTTTTATTATGAGGTTTGAGTGAAGCTTAAATTCACGCTGTGCCTTAAAAGCAAAAGGTTCACCATCCTGGCCAGGTGGCTCAGTTGGTTGGAGCATTACTCATACATCAATAGCTTGCCTGTTTGATTCCTGTTCAGGGCACATCCCAGATTTGGGCACATACAGGGGGCAACCAGTCCATATCTCTCTCTCTCTCTACCCCCCCCCCCTCTCCTATTCTTCTCTCTCTAAAATCCTATATAATAAAAGGCTAATATGCAAATAGACCAACAAGTGGAACAACCAATCTCTATGACGTGTACCTGCCACCAGGGGGCAGATGCTCAATGCAGGAGCTGCCCCCTGGTGGTCAGTGTGCTCCCGCAGGGGGAGTGCTGCTCAGTCAGAAGCCAGGCTGACAGCTGGTAAGTGCAGTGGCAGTGGCGGGAGCCACTCCCACCTCCGCAGCAGTGCTAATGGGAGTGGGCCTAGGCCAACAGTCCGACATCCCCTGAGGGCTCCTGGACTGTGAGAGGGTGCAGGCTGGGCTGAGGGACCCTCTCCCCTGAGTGCACGAATTTTGTGTTCTGGGTCTCTAGTCAACTATACTTAAACAAATGGCCCAGTGCACGATTAGTGCACATTGAAAGGAAATTAATTAGAAGAAATATTTTAATATTGCTGTTCACCCTTTCTCTGGTGACTGACACTATACTTTTCATCTGGAAGACAAAACAGTCTGGATGCTTAACGTGCTAATAAACAAAAAATAACAACATGATATAACAACAGCAAAGACATGACATCAAAACAAAACATGATATAAAAATGATAAAAATATGATATAAAAACAACACAAACATGCTATAAAAACAATGACTAATAAATGATTACCTTATTCTAATATCTCCCTGCATACTACATTAAAAATAAAAATATTTTCAGAGTGCTTGACTAATTTCCCTTGTGATGAAGTATTTAAAATTTTAACTTTAACATCATACACTCTTTGAATTCCAGAGAAAACCACATATAACTGACCATGTCCAAAAATGGATTCAGGTAGGAATATTTCTACTCTTTCTAGAGTTTATACTTGTGATTTATTAATAGTCATTGCATATGTTGGCATCATGGGAAACTGTCTTCAAATTAATTTAAATGGGAGGCCAGTATCAGAAGGGGGCAAATATTGCACATGTGCAAATCAATATTTATTTTTAAATTGCCAGTGTGTGTCATATGTACTGGCAAGTCTGTCATTCTATTGATCACTTAGCCATATATGTATGTATGTGTATATCTATATATGGAGAGAGAGAGAGAGAGAGAGAGAGAGATCGATCCTCAGGTGAGGAAAAAAAGGAGGAGGAGGAGGAGGAGGAGGAGGGGAAGACTCATCCATCTCTTCCCCTTGCAATGAAGTCACCTCTATACTTTGGAAAGCAGGTAAAAGATAGCTCTGAGCAGTGTCCCAGTTGGGTTTACAGGCGCAACCTTAAGTTTATTTGCTTAACCCACTTAACAATTTACTTTTCC